TTCATTTAAAAGTGACTTTTGATAGGGTTCAAGGTCCTCAGTGCTGGCGGTTCAAATTAGGTCGTGTCCTCAGAGCTGCCAACAGGCAGAAACTGAAGAGGTGTGTCTTTTTAATCATGGTAATTACACAGTGGCCATGGCCATAAACCACCCTCTAAACATAGAAACCCAACAAAACCCAGCTTGGGCTGCACTAAGCCAGCACTTGTGCTCGGGTTCCTTCATCCAAGCCGCAACTCTCACCCAGGGGCGGCATCCCCCGGCCCCACAGGGCGTCTGTCCCTCGTGGACCCCGGCCCCACAGGGGCAGCACGGGGACTTGCTGACTCCGCTGCAAGGCGCTTGGCTCTTCACGCTGCTTCGCGGCACGAGGGTGCTCAGACTGCCTCCATGTTATCAGCCTCCTGCCTGCAGTGGGCTGACAAGTGAAAAATAAAGAAAACTGGATGGAAAAAAAAAAACCACAAAGCCACCCAAGGTGCTGCAGTACTTAGAAAGAGCCCCTGCATTGCTCCTATCACTGCCTACAGCTGGAGGCTTGCCAGCACCAGCATTCAGAGCTTGTAAGAAAACAGGGCAGGGCTCAACTTGAACTTCACAGCACATCCCCCATGGAAACAGCATCTGACTCACATTTATCACTGGGATTTTAGTCCCCACTTATTTTTTTTTAACTCTGCCAGAGCAATATTTGAGCCCAGCTCCTGCAAAATTTGATGGACTCATATATTCAGCTGAAAACCAAGAACAGTGGAGACATACAGGTGGTTCCTAAAAACTGTCTGCAAACACTTCATATTCTTTTCTCCCAAGGAGTGGATGGGGTGAAGTATAGTCCTGACTGGGATAACCTGTCAAAATAAATCCAGGCTTCCCTATGTACTGGAGCAGTTCCTTTAGGAGCTCTTTTCCAAGTCACCCTGCAGGTAACTACATCCTCCCCTTTTGCAAATACATCTGCTCTACACCCTTTATAAGTAAGCCTATTAATTGCTGAAATATAGTCAGAAGGTAGTATGATGGGTTTAAATTTTTAATGTGTCTCAGAGAATAGGATTTATTCCCCACCCTCAAACATGTTAGGCTCACACCTTTCCTTCCACTATTGCCAGCTTCTTCCCACATCCCACACCCTTTCCACATTTCATGGACCAGCTGTCATTTTTTCCTTGTACACAATTACGGTGCTGGTGTGCTAGGATTCCTGTTATATGACAATACACTATACCATAGAAGGCTTTCCTAGCTCCACTGTAGAGGAAGCTATTTTCCAGCAATAAACCCTGTCCCTGTGGAAAACCAGGCTCTCCCTGCCTTGGTACATCTTCTGACACTTGGTGACCACACAGCTAGCTTGAAACTATCTCCGTTCCCAAGGTAAGTTAGCTCTGATTTTCTGAAGTAAGTCTAAAAAAAAAAAATCTTTCTTTTGGTATAATTACCTCGCAGATTGCCAAATCCAGCCTTCCTCAGGACTTCGTACAGTCCTTGCCCTTAGTCAAACATTTATTTTCTTAATCTTGCAACAGCAGATATGCTATTTCCTGGTGCAAACTCCCATATTCTGTATGCGCTGGATTATTTTCCCCCCACTGTCCTTGGCTCGCTTACAACATATAAATAGCCACATCCTTCAGCGGTTTGGCTTTATCTTCCCTTGTTTTCCTCACAGCAGCAGACAAGGGGCATGGCTGGCAGCAGCCTCAGAGCAATACAGCACAGAGCCCATCAGTATTTCCCCACCCACATAAGCCAAAACCCAGCAGCAACCCGTGCTCTGCCACCTGTGTTGCATCAGCTCATACAGTCTTTGCACAACATTATCCATTTAACAGCATCACACGCAGCATTTTATGTTAGTGCCTAACATAGGACTTAATCCCATTACCAGTTATCTCTACTATCCCAATGCAAGCAAGTACCTAGACCAGGACTGCTCTGCTCCTACAACTCTTTGCTATCCACAAGCAGTTCCAACAGATGTACAACATAGAGCATCACGTTCAGCCACAAAACATTGCTACATTAAGCTAGTCTAGTGCAGAGGATGAGCAGTTCCTGTGTTTAATGAAGAAATCTGTTTAGAAATATAGCTGCTCAAGCCCTTTTCCTTTCTGGAGTGGTTTCTCACATTCCAGTTTGGCTTTAAGGTCTTAACATGGTCACACTTTTCTGTTTACTGATGGGGAAGCTAGGATGGCATAGGAAAGAAAGAAGTATTTTACTTCTGTATTTTTCCTTCATCCTATCTATTCCTCCCCACAGACATTATATCTCCCTTCTAGGATGATATTTTCCAACTAGTTTTTTTTCTAAGTATTAGTCCTTGCTTCTCTGCTGACCCACTGAACCAGGACAGACCTCTTCCTAACAGGGATTCTTGCTGTGTCCCAACTCACTTCACTCTCCCTCCCATCACAAGCATTACACATCACTCTGACATTGTCCCAAAGACAGTGTTTCCCCTTCAGTATTGTAAATTCTGT